CTTGGAGGTCGGCCGTAGCGTTTCATTGCTGCCCTATCCTTATCGAATAAAGCATTAGTTAAGTTCTAAAAAGACCCAAATTGCCAAGTTAAATTACTAAAGTATCAGCACGCATAGACTGGATTTTTAAATCTGACATGAAGGAAGAGGGGTTTGAGCCTTCTGGGCCCTGTTCTTCCTCTAGTAGGTTTCAGCAGTTCAGGAGCAGGCCAGCCGCTTCTGGAGCTTATTTCTAAAACTAGTGGACTTCTGTTGGTAATCCCTGTTTTTGAAGCATTGCAGAGTGGTACCGAATGGTAAGGGAAGGAAATGTCAGGTTGCTGATCTTTGCTGTGTGAGGTGTAATTGTTGGAGACCGTCTTGCCAAGACGGAAAGTTGTGCCAGTACATGTGAACGTTATTGCTGTGGCTTTAGCTAACCCATCAGTGGCTTAGCTGCATTTTCAGTGTGTGATCTGTAAGTAGCTATGTGTGTGTCTGTGCCTGTGTTAGTCTTCCTGAGAGGACCAGTGGTGTTCCCTGTGTAAGGATAACTTTCTGTAAAATTTGTAATAGTTTCATATAATGTGAAAGGACAAAAAAATGTGTTTTCCGGTTCTCAAGACTTGTTTAAAATACGTGTATTTATGTATTTTAAACACACAGAGTAAAATCTGCTTTGTAGATCTTAAAGCTTCTTTAAAATATGTATTTGTTTATGTACACATGCATAAAACTTGAAAGTTTTTTTTAACAGTTTATTTCATTGATCCAAAAGTTTTATGACTGTAAATGGCCTGATATTTGTAGAAACTTAGGAGTCACATTATGGCAAGTTAACCACATGGTATTTATTTTTTGTGACTACTACTGCCAAAAACTGTACCTCATAGTGGTTGAAGCAATTTTAAGTTTATATAAAGCCATAAAGTGAAGTGATATCCTCAACTGGGGGAAAAAAAAACAAACTGAAACAAAAAAATCCTGCTAAAGAAACCCCCAACAAAACCCTGTTTCCAGAATTTCCGCAAATCTGCCAGCTTCCTAAGGTGGTGGATGTCATGTCTGGTTTTGAGCAGACATCAGAAATGAGCCACCTGCTTTAGCAGCCTTTATCTGTATAAAGTGAGGCTGCTGTTTTTCAGACTCCTATTAAATACTGTCATATTTATGTGAACTAGGGAGGCTTCGTGCTGTGGTTTCCATGGTGATTTAAATGTGAGGAAGAGTATTTTACTCTTCCATTAGTTATTAACCAAATTTATAAAAACCTCATCAAGCACAGGTGCAGCAAAGGGAAGTTCATGCTCCCTTGGAGGCACGGGAACTAAAACTGCCTTCTAGTCAAGTCCAGAAACAGCATATGTTCTGGTGATGTGGGGGTTCAGCAAATTTCTTCAATCAAAATAAATGCCTGCAGTAAAAGCAGCCCGGGGCGAGTAAGTGCTAGGTGCACAAAGACTGAGTTGCAGAAAGGTGGGATGCGTTTGCAGCCCTCTGCGGTTAGGCAGACATCACAAGAGGCCTCTTAAGTTTTCATTTTGACATATGTAGTTTGAGGAGAGTTCTTGTTACTCTGTTATTTTTGTCTTTTAATTAATTGTTTTGAAAAACTGAAACCATTACTTTTCTGTGAGTTTAGGATTATTTTTAAGTGTCACAACATTGTTCTTCAGAGTTTGCTGCTTCACTTGGTTACCGCTGTGGTAGTCTAATTTAGTTACAGCATGTGCTGCCAGATGCTTTTCAGGAAAAGCAAATTTACCTCCTCTTGCCTCCCAGCTTTTGCCCCTACAGATACCAAGGAGATAATCGATTAGAGGATGCACTGTGTTTCTTACAGGCTTTGCTTCCAGCTTGGATTTTTCTGGTTTACCCTGAGGGAAGGGCTTCTGTCAGGACACTTGGAAGTGGTTCATGTGGATCCTCTGGTGCCTCAGGACAGCTTAGGCTGCAGCTTTTCCCTTTTCTAGGGTTACTAGGAGGTTCTGGTGGCTGGTTTTGGGTGCTACTGAATACTTGTGCACTTGCACAGAGTTCAAAATTGATGTTAAATTAATTGATGTGAAATTAAATGTTAAATTAATGATGTTAAATTAAGCCAAATTGTATCTCAATCTTTTGCTGCTCAGCCACTTTTCTGGCTGAGAAAGAATGAATAGATTTTAAAGCCTGAAGTTGCTCTGGTGATGTCAAGTGTGGTACCTTCACACTTTATTCCCCAAATAGTGGTTGCAGTAGGGAGCTGAGGTAAGGTAGAAAAATAAAATAATGATCTCATACTTTCACCTACTCCTTCCTGTGTAAAGGTCAGGGCAACAAGAACTAAGCAAGCTACCACACTATTGATTAAATGTAATGCAAATCATTGATAGGCTAAGGTGTGCAGCCATGACTCAGTACTTTGAGAAATTATTCCACTTGACTGGCTTACATCACTGCTTGGCTTGATGACACTAATCAGACAGTGCTGGGTCATCTTGATCTCCAATGCTGGTCAGCAGGTGTATATGAGAGGAGAAGAGCAGTACAGTGTTATCTCTGTGCTATGTAGTTTGACATATGGACAGATAAGAGCCAAGATGTGGAAGCAGTGATGACTAGAAATAACACTACTTGACTGCTTTCACTTGGTATGTGAATCAAGGAAAAAAGCCAAGATGAGAACCCTATTAGTATGTAAACCATGCTGCAGGTTATCTGGCTTCCTTGCAGAGAGATAACGGAGCTGCTGTACAGCTTGGCACTGGTGCCTTCTAAATTTATCATCTTTGGGGATTTTAATTACTGTGCAGGTGATGCATCTAGTAAGCTGACACAGTCAGGTGATCCATGACATCCTTAGAATGCTCCAAGATGCTGCAGATAGAAAAATTCACGGACCTTTCTTCAACCTTACAGCGAGTATCAGAAGCATATTAGCTCTCCCAGCTCTCAAGCAGAGAGTAAGACTCAGTCTTCTTACTGGCTGAGTCATGAGCCAACAGATTTCTTAAATTCTTTGCTTGGGTGAAGGGCTGCGAGGGCACGCTTGCTGTGGGACCAGTGGACTGGTATGAAAAAGTATGAAAAATGAAGAGCCTGTTGTTAAGAACCATTAGTGGTTAATTTTTTTAATCACATCCTTTGACTGCCTTGTTTTAGTCTTGATCCAAACTGATTGAAGTGTGATGGGCAGATTGAGAAAGCAGATGGTACAAGCTGGGCATGACTCTGATGTAGTCTGGAGTAACTGTGCTGGAGGTGCCAGTGGGAGAGTGTGCAGGTTGTCTGTCTATAGTGCTGAAATGGGGTAGGAGTGTTGGTAGTGTTGTTCACTTGTAGAAACTGGCAGGGTGCTGACTTTACCTTCTGCTGAAGGCACACAGTTCTCAACAAGTTTGAACACAACTTAAAGTATGATGTAGCTTTTTACTTCTCAACTATGCTTGCTGCTGGCTTGGATGCCTAGCAGAGTTTATTACCCCTCCCAGACTGTAATTACAACTGCAAAATGTGTCCTTTTTTCCAGGTGTTACTACTGGCCAAATAATTTAAACTATTAATGTGAGATTGCTGAGTTCGAGGAAGAGTGTATCCTGCTGCTATGGCAGTAGACTATGTCCTGGAATACCTAAGCATGTGAAGATACAGTGTTCATTTTATGCTAACTAGTTCTGCCACCCAAATGTGGGAACAGAAATGAAGGGGCAGACTTCTCAATTTGTATAAAACATCTAGGGACCTTGAATTCTTAGTGGAGTATGTTGCTGTGTCACTCTTGAAACTAAGCAAGTCTTCTACCTTTTCCCCTGCTATCCTTTCTCTAGTCAAGAAAATAAAGCAAAACCCTAGAGTCTTTCTTGGCTCTTAAAAAAAATGTATTACAGATACAGATTTGCAGTGATGTTAAAGAAAATGGGAGTAGTCATTAGTATTACTTGGTGAAGTCCATGTTTGACAAAAATACCTTGTGTTTTGCTCACCAGGGTGATAATAGAAGGAAAGGAGGTTGTGCACTGCATTGCTAAACAGGGTAGACATATAAGATTGTAGTGGGGTCCTTAGATTAGCAGATTCAATAATAGAATATGTTTAAAAATAATCTAGTAGTGTCAGTATCATAGGCTGTGGCGGTCTAAACCCACAAACAAGATAGGATTCGCGTACAGGTTATAAAGTTTATTGGTGAATATTCTGAAGAATGGCTTTATCTGACTATAGGCTAACTACAGGAAAATATCTGTATACACAAATTAGAGGTCAAATACTGCCTCTGTTTAATCTTTTCTTGCCTAAAGTAAGCAAAAGAACTAAGGAAAACTAATTCTTGTGTGTTTTGGCTGTGTATACTCAGCTTGAGGGTGAAAATGGAAGTAGGAGGCTGAGGTGAGGAGCTTCTGTTTGAATTTAGGTACTTCTAACTTGGTTCAACTGAGAGAATAAAGTTTCTTTAAACCTTTTTTCTTTTTAGATCCACCTCTGACGACACAAGATGCCAGTCAGTCTCAGGCAAACTCCTTGACTAAGATGCAAACAGGCCTTAATGCATCATCTCCTGGTAATTCTTTTATTTCAGTACACCTAAAGCTATAATACTTTCCTTAGTGTTCCTGAGTTACCATGTAGAGTTTACGTTTTCATACTAAATAAGTATTTTGAAATAAGATCTTAACCCTTCAGAAGAAACATAAATAAATTTGTTATCTAGGCCTTTTAAAGCCACTGCAAGAGCTCAAGTGTCTTGGGCATCTCAATGACTTGGAAAAAGCTATCCAACTGTCAGTTGTGTGATCTGTTGCCCGTAAGTGTAAATGCCACAAAAGCAGGCAATGGTCCTGGAGATGGGACAATTACCACACTAGAGTCGTTGTGGGAGGTCCTGTTCTAGGACTTACACCTGATAATTTTCAGGTGAGGACTCTTCCTTAGGCTCTTGTATTAGTGAGAGGTACAGTAATGCCCTGGATCACTGTACCTGCTAGCTTCATCTGTCTATTGTTTTTAATTATGGATGTGTCAAAACCTTCTTTTGCCCCCACACTTTATTCGCTGTATTCTGGACCTTAATTGTGGTTTTGATAGGGAGCAGTGAATAAGTTCTAGGTAGAAGAAGAAAATTCTGATTGAAAGATCAGAGCAGCAGGAA